ATAATGTATTTCTACAAAACACCATAAATAGAAATGAACGGACTATTTATGACTATGATTCAATTTTGTAAATATATAATTCACATTATACTCATTAATCTTCATATCAAGCGATTGATATTAATAAAAACCTCTAAATCTATGTTTCATGTCAGGTGGTATTCACTAGCAAGGGATGATTCTACAATATAAAAATTAATGTGACTCTCAAAGATGTTAATACTGAGTTTTAGGTGAAGAGATTGAGTTCCTCCTCATATTTAAATCTTGATACTAATTGGGAATTCAGTAGAAAATAATGTGGTGTTCATTCATATATATTAGATGTCTAGATATTCCCATTGATTTTTAGCACTGGGACTGATAAATGTCTGTTGGCAAATGTGTATCCTGAGTAGATTGACTCGATATTGCCAATAAGTCACAATCAATGTAAGTAGAGATGGAGGGTTAACTCATTGGCCAAGTGATAATGCAATAGCGTTGGTAGCGAAAGAAACTGGGTTTAACTTTCAGGACGAACGTCGACTCTCGCGTCCAAATTCACCTGACCAATGTATCCTAAATAGGACGAAATGTGCGTCCTGGATTCCACTGCTAACCACCATCTGCCTATAGTGTGGAGTTGGTTTACATATAATCTCGTTTAAACTCTTTAAATCAAAATAACTTTGATTACTACCCAATGATCAGTCAGTTTGATTATTTCAGTTTTAAATAGAGCAAAAACAAACATTGATGCAGAATAGTATGAATTCATATTATTTCGAGGTTTCTCGTCAGCTGCTTACAAACCAAAATTGTGATAGAGTTTTTTTTACATGGAGATAGTGTGAAAACAATTGACATACATGAGTGTAAATCACTGGATTACAATAATAACTATATATATATATATATATATATATATAATGCTAGAAACAGGTCAGAAGTCAAAAAAGGGGGTTAATCCAGGTTGGTTGGTGTAATGATTTACTGAAGTTCATAAATTGCGTGATAATTGTAGAGATTAATGGAATTAAATAATGATAAGGTAGATTACGTAATAATAATTAAACATTATAGTTACCTAACCCTGAAGTAACTCCGCCTGGAGCCCCATTGAGGGAAGACTGCCGGTTTCAAGCTAGAATAAAGAAGAAGGGTTATGCATGGAGTTGGCGACCCCATAACATAGAGAACCAACTCACTAAAAAACGCCAACCAGAAAAAATTATTCAAACCATTTAAACTTTGACCTGGGAGTCAGAAGATCCTCATCTAGAAGAGTTATGATGCCTCATGGTGAAAGCCGAGTTTCTTCGGATGTCACGAGGCTGATGCCCTTTCTGACAACCAGAGCAACCATTTATTTAGGTACATGGAATAATCGTACGATATGAGGACTGGTAGAGTCTTCCAAATTACTGTAGAATCCATTGAAGTATCATGTAAGAACACGTTTATATGATTCAGATGAATAAATACTCCTACAAATCTATCAATGATTATTAACAAGTTTCTAGTATATAATTTAATAATAATGCCAAATGATAGAACTCAATGCAACATATTCATCAATCTTATATTAATTTAATATCTTATTGAATTATTGAAATATTATCCATTAAATTGATTATTAATAAAATCAGTAAATTGATGAATAACTTTTTCAAGGTCAAATTAGAAACTGACCACATTAACTATTAATAATTCATTTTTATACATGGTAAATTACACTACTTATTATCTCATTTTATTTAGTAATCATTAATATTTAACTATTTTTTTCTTTCAATAGCTAAGATCATGAGTCAGTTGAAGCTAGACCACCATGGAAAACCTGGAAACACTTGACGGCCGTTTCGTCCCAGTGTGGGACTCCTCAGCAGTGCGCATCCACGACCTCGCACCCTGCGAGATTCGAACCCAGGAATTACTGGTTTCGCGCCCAAGCACTTAACCACTAGACCACTAAGCCAGCATCCGACGGCGTTAATGTCTAACTTCAACTAATCCACGAAATTGAGCGACACATTCACCACTGTCTTCAGTGAGTTACTATCTCACAACAGACCTAGTTGAACTCGACTTGTCACTACTTCTCACTAGAACTTTATGATATAGCTCGTGAAGCCATGGTGGTCTAGCTTCAACTCACTCATGATCTTAACCATTGAAATTACAACAATCTCCACAAAACCCATCTGATATTTTTTCTTTAACAATTTCTTTCTAAGAAAAAAATAATTTATAAATTAAATACACTTAGTAACAGAAATTCATTTATATAAAAGTTTATAATTTTTTTAAAAATATACTAATTGGCGCCAGTGTCTAGGGATTATTGTTTAATATATAATCATAGCAACTAGCCTTTATTTCATATAGATACATTGATTGATTTAAAATTGAAATTTATACAATCAATCTTTGATATCCATATGAGTATATATATACATACAGGCTTATTTTATCGCTTAAATTGGGGAAATGTAATCCACTAATTCAGTTTAGTCTAATTTTGCTTTTTTTCAAATAAGTTTAAATCAAATGAATGACTTCAATTTGTGCATGAAATTATTATTACATAAATACAAAGCACCTATATAATTGAATGTGAATTACTGTATAAATACAAACTGGAGACAGTGTACTACGATTAAAAGATCAGTTAATAAAACCGATGGTTACGCATGTGTTTTATACATATATGCATACGCCTGTTACTCCCAAAGAAGCATAGGTCACCGACTAGCATTCTCCAACCCTGGAGCCCCTCGAAGGCCACTGCCGGTCCAAAGCCCGTATAAAGGAGGAGGGTTGGGCATGGGATTAGCGATCAAATCCCGTAGAAAATTAACTCGCTAAAAAAACGCTAACCAGAAAAAACGATTTATACGTATTTGTTTAGATATTAAATATGCTATTCATTCAGGATTAAGGAGGTCGTAAGTTCGATTTCAATGGGAGAGTAATGCATAAGCAATTGTGAGGATTCCTACACTGGAACGAAATGTTTATTCACTGCTTTCAGAATTTTATAATAATCTGAATTAGATAAGTTGAATTATTGAAGAAACTCAATAATTTTCTAAATCTCCACTCATCATGAAAGATCATTTACATTTATTTTGTTCTTGCTATTTATACATTTTATCAAAGTTTAGTACTACGTCAACTGAATAGCAGTTTCAATCAAAAGTTATTCAATGTATACCTAGTTATATGTATATTGGTCCAAGTTGCCACACCTTACTCATTAGCACAACAAGATGAACACCGGATTCATAGAAGTAGTTAATTTAATGGTGATAATATATCAAAGAAAGATTGCATATAAGGATACAATACAGGAAGATATATGCTGTAGAAAGAAAGATATAAAGCGATTTTAATCTCACGGTTTGAGGGAAGACAGAGAGTGTATACACCTACACCATTGTGATCGATTCTGAGCCATGTCACCAAGAGTCTACAATTTTTGGTTACGATAGTCACGTGGACCTCAATCAAGTAGTCTGCATCTCCAACATAGCTCAGACTAGAAGTTAATAACTTCAAGATCATCTTATGAAGTTATAAATATGTAACATAGAGATGTGTTTCATTGGTGAATTTTATATTCTAAATAGTTAAATTATAGTCACATATAAAAACTTTTACAAACTAATACCTATTTTATTAATACATCAAATATGTATTAAATACGTTGGTTAAGCCATAAACCTACTCATCTGTAAGATGATATGACAAGATAATAATCACTGTATGACTTATATGAGACTGTAAGCTTATTATGTGTTTAGTTAAAAATCGTCGACTACAAATAAAAAAGTTTATAAATATATACTGAAATTTGACCCCAGATTAAAAGATTACCGATGGTAAAGTATATACAAGATGAAAAGCTGAACAAATAATAAAAGGGTACAATGAACAGCGATATATTCTGCCCCCGCACTTCTATTTTAAAACATTGAAATAATAAATAATAATAATACCATGATATCAACTACATTCATTGGTACGATACACTATTTCGATAAAAGATCATAAATCTTTAAATATCTTTGGATTTTCTTACTAACTACTTGGTTACCATGCTTATTACACCTAAAATACTGCAGGAAAAAGAATAGTCAACTATATCGTTCTCAAGGTACTATATTACTGGGATGCTATAGTACTTAACTCTATGGTTTATAATAATAAATTTAACCTTTATGTCAGTAACATAAGTGAGAATTAAAGTGCTCATACTAACCATAACTGATTAGCTTGATCACTGATTAAAAAACTATGTTTGTATGGTGTGAAAAAAATCCATCAGTTACTGGGACTTGCACTATTGAGTCAAAGAATTAAGCTGCATTAGTCAAACGGTAAGTAAGTTTTGATGGTGTATGGTCATTTCGAAAGCCCGTAAATTCACAAGTCTTCATCTGGTATATATATGTACATATCCGTTCGTACAATTTCTCAGAGACTATACCACTCATCTCTAGATCAATGTCTTGGTAGGTTTAAACTGCAAGAAATGTAACCTTGATTCTATCAGTGGTACACACTACATGCATTGATGTTGTGATTCAAGAAGCAGCATATGTTATAAGGCTACGACCACCTATGGAGACCGGTAAACTTAATAAAACATAATCAATTCTAAGCATCTGTCGTGCTCGTTGCATTCTCAGACTATTCAGCGAGGCTATGATGAATTAATGAAGTTAAGAATGATAGGTTTTGAATTTTGATGCGAAATTCATTCATTCATATAATCAAATATCAGTTTGGTATCGATATTAGTTTATGATGAAAACCGTTCATTTAATTCTTAATCCTTAACTCTAACTATAAATTCCAATCTTAATTTATAATTCTATCTGACTTTAGTATGGAAGTGAGCCGTCTCAAAGTCACTATTGCGCTGTTCAAAAGTCATCCATAAATTATAGTCTACCCGATTAATTCTGTATGTCTGTACTGTGCTAAGCTAGTTGTATTAGTTTGCTGGAAGTTTAATAGTCTACCATTAAAATAATAGGCAACATAGAATCATGATTTGATTCCAACAAAATGGATGATAAAAAGCTATCACATGTAAGGATAGCACCATTAATTTGAGTACTGATATCTTGGTGTTTTTTACTTATCCATTTTACAAATAATTTGATCTAAATCGTTATATGTGAAAATTATATTTGAAATATTCTCAGCGATTGAAATTTAACTAATTCCAACGTTTCGTCCAGCTAAACTGTCTGGATAATTTTGATTTTGATTACTACCCTGAAGAAGTCCAGACAGGTTAGCTGGACGAAACGTTGGAATTAGTTAAATTTCAATCGTTGAGAATATTTCAAATATAATTTTCACATAAAAATGACCTCTCTATACTCGGTGCTCAATTACTGTCAAACTATTCGTTCTAATCTTGACGAATATTCGTATAAATTTGATCTAAAGTTACATTTTCTCACATATTTCCACTAAATAAATATTATACTCCACGAGATGAATTAATATGAATAAATGAAATATATTTGAACACAATTTTCATCTGTTTTCTAGAGTTCATCATCATCAATGCAATAGACCTAGAAGAAATCCATTGGTTCCTAGCTAGATATAGATTCTTTCTTTTTGACTATATCCTTACATAAAATCTTTCCTTTATATATTACACCATTGAGTGAACTACTTCTATGAATCCGATGTTCATCTTGTAGTGCTAATGAAGTGTGCCAATTTGGAGCGATGTATATATGTGCCTGATCTTACGTTGTAACTGACTGACTAATAGATAAATATCTCCCCTGATAATTAAGTAGTAACCAATGTCCTATATGTTTCATCTGATTCCAAATCGATTCATCAATTGTTTTCATATAGTTAGTTATATTAGTAATTTAGCATAAAATTTACAAATTAAACTAGAACAAAACTTTAATAAATTAAAAATGTTTATTTTATAAATAAAACTTACTTGTGTTGTTTGATTTATTAACAATATTGATGATGCACATGAATGAAACATTGAACCAGCAACTGATTTTACAACTCCTTCAGCTAATTTAAGTAATGGAATATTAGGTAATTCATCATTATCATTTTCTAATCCATGATTTTGATTAGCTGTATTAAATGCCATATTGAATACAAGTTGATGTAATATACCAAATATCATTATAGTTAGTTGACGATGTGCTATAGTTAAATCTTTAAGTATACTTTAAAGATTTTTGAAGAAAAAATAAACAACAGAAAAACAAAGATTAACTTCTTAAACAAATATGAATAGTGACTAGCATTGTAATGCAGTTTTACGCGCGTTTCGTCCTATTTAGGGCACATCAGATGGATGGATCTGCATCCCGGAATTGATATTCACTCTGAGACTCGAACCCAGTACCATTCGCTTCAAACGCCATCGCGTTCTCCAGTTAGTTACTGAGTCCTGATAGCCACTTGCTTATGTTTGTACAAGTAAGACAACACCAAGTGAATTTAAACATTAACTTAGGCAGTATACATTTTGGCATAACATTTCATCATTGTTTACACATATCACATTAAATATCAATCCATCGACTGTGATAAGCATTTCAACAATGTTAGGAAAGGGTATTAACATAAATGAGTGATAACGTAACAAAATGAATTTTAAAGGAAGATCAACAGATACTAAGTATCATAGTACTATCACTCAAAGCATTTGAAAGAGTACAGATTTTGTCAGAGTAGTAGCAGAATTGTAGAAAATATCATCTGCTCATAATAAGTGAATATAGAACAGTGATAATAAAACTTCAAACAATTAGTTGCCTTGATAAATCTTGATAATTATCAGTATAAGGGTTGTGGAGTTTATTACGTTTTTGATTGAGATCATGAATCGATTGATGTTAGACCACCATTGAAAAACTGGTAGCAATGGACGGCCATTTCTTTTAATGTGGGACTCCTCAGTAGTGCTAATCCACGATCCCGCCCGCGGGATCCGAACCCAGGGTCTTCAGTCTCGCTCGTGAATGCTTAACCTACTGGACTAGTGAACCACCATCCAGTGGTTTTAGTGTCTAACATCAACCAATCCACGAAATTTCGTGATCTTCCATTGTACTGAGGTAGATACCCATCTCTGCCCGACACGGATCTCGTGATCGCAATGAAAAACTTAATAATCTCCACAACCCCTATAATGATAATTAACATGTGCTCACCTTAGGTTACCAACGGTGGTCTAACATCAATCGGTTTATGATCTCAATGAAAAATCTGGATAATCCGACGAGAAAGCGAAGATTATATGATATACTTGTGAAATACATTTGAAACAATCTGATTATAAATACACTTGGTAACGAAACTATATATGAATCATAACAGGTCAATTGGACAAATTAAAAGATAAACGGAAACAAAGATAATAATAATAAAGTTCACTATGGAAAAACATCGTTGGAAAATCAATCAATATTACCAGAGTAGATTAATGGTAAAAAAGAAACAAATAGTTTTTGAATACATAAAGGGAGAATTCAATTTTCGTATGGTCAAGGCTTTGATAAACCTTAGTATAATCCTTTGAAAACTTTTGTACAAAACTACAATGGCTAATTTGATATTAACAATGTGAATAATCTTAACCAAATATGTCGCAATAGAGGAAGAATAAAAATTTATTACGCCAATAATTCTGGATTAAACATATACAAAATTTCTAAATATAGAATCTTAAGGAATATGAAGAACGAATCGATCTAAAAGATTGTGATCAATTCTAAACCATTCCAAGTAACATTTCTAAACATTGGTTATAATAATTATTATATCCTAAGAGAAAACTCTGTACATTTCAACAAATAAAAATCAACAGTCAACGACTTCATGAACTAATGGAACAACTCAATTTGAAAGTAATCAGCTTCATTACAACCTGATCACAAGTCAACCAACATCGTACATTAAGTTTGGCGATTGTTGAGCTTGCATAATACATATCCCAACCAAATTAGTCAATACAGATTCTCAATCTTATCAACTAATTCACCTTCTTATGAACTTAACAGATACGTCATGACTTACTTACGCCTGTTAACCCCCAAATGGAGCATGGGCCGCCGACAAGCATTCTCCAACCCACTCTGTCCTGAACCTTTTTTTCTAGTTCCATCCAGTTCTTGTTCATTCTTCTCAGGCTTGTCTCCATTTTTCGGCCTGATGTATTCTTTGGTTTTCCTCACCTCCTTTGGCTTTGAGGGCCTGCCTTGTGACGCAGTTGGGTGCTTTCCTCCATGTGTATCCTATCCACTTCCAGTGCTTCTTCCTGATTTCTTCCTTCGCCGGAATATGGTTTGTTCTCCCTCACAGCAGATTGTTGCTGATAATGTCTGGCCAACGGATCCGATGTATTTTGCGTAGGTAACTCTTAATAAACATTTGTATCTTCTGAATGATGGCCTTCGTTGTTCTGCAAGTTTCCACCCCCATACAGTAGAACTGTTTTGACATTTGTATTGGTATTGGTTGACAGTTGTTCTGAGTTCCAGATGTGCTTCAGTTGTAAATATGCTGCTCTTGTTTTGCCAATCCGCGCCTTCACATCTGCATCAGATCCACCGTGCTCGTCAGTGATGTTTTCCACATATGTAAAGGTTTTTAGATCCTCAAAAGCTTCTCTGTCAAGTGTGATTCGACTGGTGCTTATTGTGTTGTATCGGAGAATCTTGCTTTTCTTTTTGTATATGTTAAGACCTACTGTTGCTAAGGCTGCTACTACACTGATCGTCTTCTCATGTATTTGTTGTTCCGTGTCCGATAGAAGAGCCACGCTATCAAATTCTTTCTCGTAGTCAATGAAGTAGATGTAAAGTGATGAATTCCATTCGACTAATTGTTCCACAATGATCCGTAGTATTGCAATTCGGTCTGGTTTTGAGTTGAAACCTGAAAAAATAGTTCTTAAAACAAACTCCGCCTGCAACGCCTGTGGGGGATTACTGCCGGTCTCAATCTTGGATAAAGGAGGAGGGTTATGCATAGGGTTATCGAATCTATCTCGTAGAAAACTAAAGCGCTAAAACAAAATGCTAACCAGAAAAAATCATTCAAAACCATCATAATAAACATTATCATATTTCTTAAAATTGTATAAAACTCACTTTTGAAAAACTTGTACACGTTCTATATCCACTGGAGTTAATTGATAGATTTGTTTTATTGAACCATATGAAAATAATAAATTCACCGTATTAGATTGTTGAGTTGTATCAATATTTGTAATAACGATAGCACGTCTTATTACATCATTGAATTGTTCTGTATATTCTTTATTTGTATAATATACATTCTTGTTATTATCATTTAAATTTGTTTCATTAATACAGATATTAATGGTGAAGTATTTGTTGATTCAGCTAATTCTAAGAGTAAATTCTCTGTATTATTATCAATTTCTAAATTAAATGTATCATGATGATGTATTATAGATGTTTTACATATTGTTTTTAATTGATTATTATCATTTAATGGTTGTTGTGTTAATAAAGCAGTACGTAATAGTTGTTTTTCACCTTTTAAACCAATTAAACCATTTGGTATATTAAATAATACACGTTTAGCAACTGTTGCTACAGTATGAATATTATAATCTTTCCAATCAATCATTTGATCCGATGCAAAACGTTGTAATATATGCTATGAAAGAAGAAAAAAGAAAACAGGGAAGTACAATAGTTATACTTAGATAATAATTTCAATTCGATTCATCTTAATACGAATCATAGGTCGATAGTGCTTAGTAGTGGAATCCAGGACACAAGTTTCGTCTTATTTGGGACATGTCAGTTGGATGTACCTACATCCCAAAGTTGATGTTCACTCCTCGTACGTCCAGCTAACAAGTCCCGAATAGGAAGAAACGCGCGTTAAACTGCAATCCATTGTTAGCCACTATCCATCTTTGTTTATAATACTTGTGACTTAAGTTAATATCGAGGCGATCCACACACGATGCACATATGCCAACATGAGACTAATCGATTGCAGTCTTAAATAACAATGGGAAGACACAAGTAAAACAACATCAAGTGAATATGAAATGAATCATATTTCATACATTTAAACAATTCTGATATAATTGAGAATGATTAACTCACTTTTATGAGGTGTTCGAGTATTGATTGAAACTAGAAATACTGAACATTAAACTTAAACTTTATAGTTTAAGCTTGATGTTCTGCAATCCTTCGTAAGTCTTTGGCTCGATCTCCGATGGGATCTGTTTTATTATACCAAATAAAGTCTGTCTATTATATAAAGCGATAAATTTAACTGTCTTCATAACCTTACGTATTAGCAAACATTGTGTTGTCACTAATGCTTTTTGGTATTGGCATGGCAAGACATCTGCTCAGGGTTTATACGCACACCCGTGGAACGCTTCACACTTTACACTCTCCATTCTTACCTCCCAAATCCACACTAATGCCTTTGAAATCAAGTTACAGTTGGAAGCAATAAATAGGGAAATTTAGTCACGTCTAGGTTGTGACATACAACACCGATAAAAATGAATTTGAATGTAAGTAGTTCCATATATGAAAGCAACAGTCATTCTCATTAGCCCTTTAAATGAAATCAGTCAATAATGTATGCTATCTACAGAGATGTATATATATAACTGCTTATATTCAGTGTAAACATTCACATTAGTATTTTACTTAACGTAAACAAATAACAGTATCCATTTCATGTTGAAATTGAAAGCATCATTAATCACTTTATCTACAATATGTCTATTATCATCTCTTTCGATTTTTCTATAAATCAGTTTCATCTATAATCCCTTTATGTTATTACTATTATTATTATCAGTAGTATGATTATTAATATTAGTAGAAATAATTTATTTTGTGCAGATTCAACAGACTAAATGTTAAGTGGTCTCTGCTGAATTAAAGGTCACAGATTCGATCTCCAGTGAATGGGACGTAAATAATTACTGCAAATGAGTCCTATACTAGGGCGAAACATATATCCATTCCTTCTTGATCTTCACTGGTTGCTAACGTTACGCATTTACTGCGAATAAAATTTGTCGATTCCAATAGTTTCATTACTTATTGACCACTTAATATATAAAAGACATTCTCTCAATCAAAATTAATCCAATGTTAAGACGAAGCATCTGTCCTAGTTTTCAGTGACTGCTTCTTACAGTCAGTCCGTGTTGTAAAACTGTCAATTCAACAACCTTTACAAATCGCGTATTACTTCCTTACGCCTGTTACTCCTCGTGGACGAGCATAGGCCGCCTACCAGCATTCTCCATCCAACCCTGTACTGGGCAATCCTTTCCAGCTCTTTCTACTTGCTATACATCCTTTTCATATCAAACACCGTACACTAATGATAGTGATGTTTTTTAAGAGATAATTCCTTTTGCTCTAGTGAGAAGCGCAAACTAGAAGAGTTCAGTCATATAGAGAGTTAGGCAACTACCAACCACTGACACTAGATGATGATCGCTGTTTCTCGTGAATGCATTAGAAATGGAGATACAAATTTTCAGATTTTAACTCAGAAATCTAAAAGTTAAGAGCTTCCCACTAGTCTTGAAGGTCCTGAGTTTTATCCTCAATGGAGTCGTGTATGTAAAATGGTAAGGAATTCCTTACTGAATATTTCTTTTACTATGATTCACCAGTAAACATCACTCTCAAGTAAAAGAATTTTCTCCAATTTACACTTGATTTAAAATAATTTACTGATAAAATTTATACAACTGACATGAAATAATTAGCAAAGTCTACATTAAAATACTGAAGTTTACATACCAAGATTGATTTCAATAAGCTGTTTCGGTAAGACTATAATTTATGGACGACCTTTGAGTGACGCTAGATTGACCCGAAGAGTGTTCACCTAATAACTACAACCAAATGAGGCTTATAAACCTGTGTGAGGAATTAAAATTCTGATTTACAGTTGATGGTTAAGGTTAGGAATTACATTAAGCATCAGCTATAATGTAAAAACTCAATTTATCCATATGGATGAGTGTATTTCGCGCCAAAATCTAAGACCTGTTATCTTATATCTGATTGGTTCATCCATGAATTATAGTATCACGACTGTTTCTTCTTAGAATTAGATTAATCATTAGTCCTTATGAAACATTCTATACAGGATCAATTAGAGTAAAGTTTATATTGAATCATTTGTTCTATTAAAATGACCAATCAATCTTTCATTATTACTAAGTTTATACAAAAATTGTAAACATTTTTGCAATGGATTGTGTATAGAAGACAAGTTGTGAACCACAACATGCAAAGAAATTCGAACATTTCACTTCTATTTGGAGTTTGTACTGATAATGTCGTTCAGAAGAATAATGAAAGCTTCATAACTAAACCATCTAGCTCAGTGAACAAAACTTCATCAAAAACAGGGAGTAGCATCTTGAATATGTTCAACTTCATTACAATTCACATTACTTTAAATCATCTAATAAATATCAATTACAAATTAACTAATCGCCTACTTATTTATGCCTATTACACCTCGTAAAGGAGTATAGGCCGCCTACAAATTAATTAATTCGTTTACAAAAATTAAATAAATAAATAAATTAGATTATAGATTATCTACATAAAACTTTTAATGAATGTATCCATTTCAACCTTATTGATAGATTGGAAACAAACAAAACAAACAAACATCAAAAATTATCTGGTAAAACTCAATAATGTTTACTAAATATTGTCCTTAAAAACGGTCAATGAATGGCATATTCAAAGGAAATAAACATGATAATAACCAGTAATAAATGAATTAACGTTAAAATATTAATCAATTAATGGATAAATTTTGATTGAGTTCTCCACCCTCTCTCCCCAATATAGAAAAGTTATAGGGAAATAAAATTTAGTTTCAGAAGGGGTTTTGTGGAGATTTTATTAATTTCAGTAATTGAGATCATGAGTCAATTGAAGCTAGAATACTATGAAAAACCTGGAAGCATTGGACGAAACGGATGTCCAATGTTTCCAGGTTTTCCATGATGGTCTAGCTTCAACTGACTAATAATTTCAACTATTGAAAATTCAGTTTATCAGTTAAATATACATAGCTTATAGTAAATCTGGCAAGATTTATAAGATTTTCAAGTGAGATTCTAATTTATGGACAACCTTTTGAGCAACGCTAGACTAACCTTGAGAGTATCCACTTAATGACCAGAACCAAATGACGATTATAAACCGGTGTGAGGAATTACAATTATGGTTTACAATTGATGATTAATGTTAAAAATTAGATATAGGGAGTTTTCACCACGAACTGACATCAGCTATAATGACAAAAGTTTACTTATCCAAATAGATATAGGAATTTCGCACCAAAATCCAAAAATTGTTGCTCTGGTTGTTAGAAAGGGCATCGGCCTCGTGACTTCTGAAGGAAATCGGCTTTTACCACGAGGCGTCATAAGTCTTCTAAATGAAGACTTTCTAACTCCCAGGTCAGAGTTTAAATTGTTTGAATTATTTTCGCTGGTTAGCGTTTTTTGAGCGACTTAGTTTTCTATGGGATGGGGTCGCTAACCCCATGCACAATCATCCTTTATCTGGGCTTGGAACCGGCAGTAACTCTAGAAGAGTTACTGGCAGAGTTCCCTAACTTGTAATCCTGAAAGAAAGCGGTAAAGATGAAGGCCAAAGAACACATTACGTCGCGAAATAGAATCAGATATGAAAAGGATGAATAAAAAGTGGGAAGAGCTGGAAAAGATAGCCCAGGACAGGGTTGGATGGAGAATGCTGGTGAGCTGCCTATGCTCCTTCATGAAGAGTAACAGGCGTAAGTAAGTAAGTTACTTCAATGCAAATTACAAAAACTATCTATCATATATGTATATATAACTAGGTCTTTTAAACAATACTACTTACTTTAATTTGAGCAATATTACCAGGTCGTCGAAATAAATCTTTTGCATAAACACCTTCTTGTGCTAAATATAGAAATAAATTAAATACAGGTATAGGTATAACACATTCTTCAATAAATTCATGAATATTTTCATCATTATTATTAGTTTGAATTGTTTTGTTGGTTGAATTTAATAGATCTTGTTGATATGTAGATTGTGTATATATAGGATCAATTGGATTATTAGAAATGATAGTTGTTGTTGCTGCTGTTGTTGTTGCCAATTATTATTATTATTATTTATTATAGTTTTTTGTTGATTTGATGATTTTATATTCCATTGAAATGGACAATGTGTTATCCAACGTGTAATAAATTTAGAACATTGTAAACTAATTGATTTTTCAGTAGTATCATTTATCGAAATACATGTTTTTACTGTTGATATTGGTAATGTTGTTGTTGGATTAGTAGTAATAATATTAGTAGTATATGGATGTGTTAAATTGTATTGATAAGATGAAGTTGTTACATCTAACATCTTATTATCACTTAGTTGCTATTCATTTAGGGAAAAAGAAAAATAGAAAAAAAACGTTTACCATGATTAATTCAAAAAATTGCTCTTCACTGAATATAGAATTAAGTTTAAGTAATAAACATATTGATGTGACTATAATTTATGGATGACCTTTTGAGCAACGCTAAAGCGACCTTGAGAGTGTCTACCTACTTACTAGCGCGTTTCGTCCTACTTGAGATTCGTCAGCTGAAAGTGAATGCATCTTAGAGTTGATGTTCACTCTGAGACTCGAACACAGTACCGTTCACTTCAAACAACATTATGTTACCCACTGATCAATTGCAGTCTTAACCATCAATGGTAAGATTCAAGTAGATAATGTCAAGTGAATTTAACCGATTGAATAGTTTTAAGCCAATGTAAATAAGTTATTTTTTAAGGTATACATGGTGAGATTATAATTTATGGACAACCTTTTGAGCGACGTTAAAATGATCTTGAGAGTGTCTGCCTACTTATTAGAGCTAAATGAGGGTTATAAAGCAGTTTGAAGAATAAGGATTATGACTTCAGTCGATGGTTAGAGTTAGGAATTCGATTTAGGGTTCTTATCACGAACCGACATCAGCTATAATGCCAAGATTCTATTTAGCCAAATACGGGAATGGATTTCTCACCAAAATCTAAGACTTGTTATCATAAATCTGAATGGTTCATCCATAATTTATAGTCTCGCTAAAATATTTTGCTAATTTTACGAATCAAAAATATTAGACCTATCAATTTAACCTTGAATGTAATAAGCGTTTTCAGTCAGTCAGCTACAGTGTAGGACCAAGCCTATATAATGTATCAGTTCAAGTTATTATACTTCATTAGCACAACATGTTAAACACTATATTTCATAGAAGTAGTCAAGTTTTATTTTTAAAAATGACTGTATACAACAAATTTTTTATTTCATTTTTGTAAAGATCAATTTAACTTATATGCTGTATTTGTCACAAGTCGTTACTGATATAGTTCATATATATTAGGAATGAAAAATGTTCTCATTGATTACATTCATTAATGGTTATGTTACTATTTATCGATAGTTATTTGAAGTTAAACCAATGAATATTGACTAATTGTTTCTAATAGACAGGTGATTCATCTCAATAACTGATAATTTTGCGTTCGATCCCTGGTAGTCTTGTGGGTGCACATTTATTAGGAGGAGTAGTTATCTTGTATTCTTTTGTTCTGAACAATATGCAAAATGAGATCAAATTGTAATGAAAACATCTTAGGTATTTGTAATATCACAGTATCTAATTTCATAATGTCAAATAGACTGACAACTGAGTGGGATATTTGAGGAACTAGAAGAATAATACGAATAATATATTTGTAATATGTTAATCAGTTTAATTTGTTTAATGTGGTTGTCGTTTTTTCTAGCAAGATTTTTTTCTACGGGATAGGGTTGCCGAACCCATGTCTAACCCTCCCCCTTTACCCAGACTTGAGACCGGCATTAACCATAGCTACAGGCGTAGAATTGTTTCATTTTCATGATTTACTATAGATTATACATTAATCTATATATCTAAAGTGGTAACTTAAACAAAATTGTGAAAAATAATAAGTTCCATTTCCTAATCACTGAAATATTACATACGTATAGTCATTATTATTGTTATTATTATTATTATTATTATTATTATTATTATTATTAGTGATGACGGAATACCTTGTGTTCAAATTATTTCAACTTATTCAGTCAAATAATGGTTGTAATACTCATTTCATTTACAGTATTGTATTGTAAGAACTCTATAATTCACGTGTACACTCTGGTTAAGGTAGCGTAACTTTAGTCAAGAGAACAAGGACACAAATAATGAAAGAAAATTAAGAAACAACGACGGAAAGAAGGAACAAAGGAGAGAGATAGAAAATCTACATTTCAAAATAACAATTCGGCCAGACAAAAACATAGCACAAATCCATGAAGTCACTGACAAGTAAAGTGAGCCATGTTGGTAGATGTAGACTATCTGGTTGGGATCAGCGAAACGATAGTAACCAAAGGTTAGAGACTTTGAATGACACATGGAACAAAATCATGTGCGATGGCACAGGTGCATCTACACTTTGTGTTCTCCCAAATTATAATATTCTGAATTCTTCATGTCCCTTTATTTTTACTCTTTCCAAATTTATTTCACTCGACTATACTTCTTGAATAACTTTTTCAAACCCTAATATTTCTGATTACTGCTTATACTCTTACTACCTCTACCACTATGGGATTTGAATTGACAACTGCATCTCTGTTTTAATATGATATGGCAACTTGGACTGATGTGCATACGTACCAAGTTTCAGATTGTTACTGACTGACTGATGAGGAAAGTTCTTATAAGTTACATAAGTTACATATTCTTACTACTTCAATGATCTTATTCTACAAAGAGAAAAAAAAATGGAATCAAATCTACATGATTCAAAGTTTTCTTCATTTAGACAATGAAACATTTCCGAAATACTTATTACATTCAAAGAAACGAATGTTTAAAAAACATATTTCTAGATTATTCATTGATCATCTTATGATATTACTTTTCTTCATCATCTACTACTACTACTACTACTGATATACTTTATTATTTGTCTGTAGATTAAACCTAGTCATCTTATTTACAATACTTAATGATTCATTGAATACATTCTATCTAAAAATTGTGTATATATAGAGAGAGATAGATAGATAGATACATCTATTGTATTAGATAGACAACAAAGCTAGTAAATATGTAGAAATACTAACATAAATGGAAGAAAACTGAAATATGGTAATTGATAAACGGTGTATATATCTATACCAACTTCTTTTAAGGGTTTACTAACGTAAATATCAATCTAGTCATTTCAATAGACTTCTAACGTTACTTATTACTACTTCTAGTACACTACGTAAGAGGTGAATAAAAGGTCAATAAAATAATCTATTCAATGTTTAATACAATAAAATTAAAAAAGAAAAAAAAGAATGAGGCAACAACAACAACAAAAAAGAAAATATATCAGTGAATAAGGATAAAGAAGAAAGATAGAAAGTGAAACTATCGACTTATGTCTTATAGATATATATTGTGTTTTGGGAACCTTATGAAAGACATGGCAGGAAAGATGTGTGTGCATGTGTATGTGTATGTGCATGTATGTATGTATGTATTTATATATGTGAGCTTATATTTTTGGTACATGTAACTAGTGATAATTAGGATAGATAAAAGATATAAGATGTTAGATATTCGGTTATGTAATGAAAAATTGATTCCTTCGTTTTTTTGTAATCACATAAATAGTTATATCTCTTTATACTGTCTAAATATAGAATAAAATGACAATAATAAAATGGTTTCTATGGCGATTATTTCAATTTGTTGACAGTGATTTGTCATTAAAGAACTAATATCCATCAAATCAGATAACAATAATTTCATTTTGGAATAAAGGATTCATCAGAAGTTCACATAGTAAAAGTTCAGAATTTCAGATTACATAACGATGAGGATATTTACTTTCAATCATATAATCACAATCTAACAATTTATAACATAACATTATAATCTGATTAAAGAAATGGAAATATGTGAGGATAGTTCATGAGATGAACTGGAGTAAGCCTTAAGAAGTTCAAAAAGAGCTGAAGATATTCCATCCAATCATTTTTTGGAAGAATATTCTAGAATTCTTACATGGAGTTTCCCTATTTAACAAAGGCTAATAACCCTCTGTATGTGTTTTTTACTAAAAACTAAATACTTGGCAGTTTTATACTGTAATTGATATTGTTGAGTACAACATTCCTTTCATTTGTTTTCTGTCTTTTCATTTGTCATTTGGGAATGTTCTAACGTTCAACTGGTCAAGTTATATGCAGTATATTAAGAATCTAAGCTCTAGATAATAACAATTTAAATTAAACCTAATCTATTATTTGTAAAGGTTAATTAAACATATCACATATGACATTTATCACATCGATAGTTTTACCGAATTCCAATACTCTAAAATGTATTTCCATACTACTTGAATGAGTGTTTATAATACAGTTTCATTTCTAGACTGATTCATTCTTTTTAGAAATTAAATTAACTATTAATGAATTTCAAAAGGAATTAAAAGGAATACAACTTAACAACTTATTTGAAAGAATATTTAGAATATTCAATATTAAATGGTTGGAGTCCGTGAGAGACGATAGCAACCAACGGTTAGAGACTTTGAATGACACATGGCTCAAAATCATGTGTGATGGCACAGGTGCATCTACACTTTGTGTTCTCCCAAATTATAATATTCTGAATTCTTCATGTCCCTTTATTTCCTTCTCTTTCCAAATTTATTTCACTGTATTATACTCCTTGACTGACACCTTCAAACCCTAATGTTTCTGATTACTGCTTATACTCTTAATACCTCTACCACTATGGGATTTCAATGGACAATTGTATCTGTATGCTAATATGATATGGCAACTTGGACTGATGTACATAAGTACAAAGTTCCATGTTGTTACTGACTAACTGAAATGGATGCTATTCATTATTGATAACAAAGATAACTTTTATAAACCAATGTGTACACTTACTATCATTTCATTATTTAAATGATAGATATTGACATTTTAATAGTAATCGTTTTACTATTCTATATATATGGCATAGTTTAATGAACTCTTACATTCATATTCCCTAACAACTTAAATAACTTACATACTTTTGAAATAAATTTACTATTATGATATAAATTAAATGGGGAAAATAACATATATTGTAGAAACAAAGCTTGAATATTAGTTAAACAATAGTAAAATATAAAGTTTCATTAACAGTAGAAATAGAAACCTCAGCACGGATTTGAAAAGCTCGTTTGGCTTTTGCCAACTTGCATCACCTATGGCGAAGGAGAGATATCTGACGAGTATACTGCGCGGCAGTTCGTTTTGTTTTGCATTATGGCTGCGAAACGTGGCTCACCGGGTAAGTAATAGTGAGGTTGGATGCACTTCATTAAGGAATTTTGGTAAATCGGTTAATGAAGTTGTGAATCTTCATAGACTGACATGGTTGGACCACATGTTGCATATGCCTGAACACAATGCTGACTAGTGTTGGGGATGGTTGGAAGAAAGTTAGGGGTGGCCAAAACAAAACATGGCGTCAGTCACTGAAGTCACTAACTTCTAGTATATGCCACGTTGGTAGATGTAGACTACACATTTGTGGTCCGCGTGACTATCGTAACCAAAAATTGGAGACTCTTGGTGACATGGCTCGGAATCTATCACTATGGTTGAGGTGTATAGACTCTCTGCCTTTCCTTAAATTAAGAGATTAAAATCGCTTCATATCTCTCTTTCTACCAACTCATTCACTCTTCGTGTACTATGTCCTTATATGATATCTTTCTTTTAAAAACTACCACTACTGAATTAACTACTTTTATGAATCCGGTGTCTATCTTGTTGTGTAAATGAGGTATGGCAACTTGGACCGATGCACATATGTGCCTAGTCCTACGTTGTAGCTGACTAACTGATTAGCAAAGATGGATGCACATATACCAATAAAAGACTGATCAATTTCAGTCCTAAAGGCATCGATAGAAAGATACAAGTAAAACAACATCAAGTGAATTTAAACTTCAGCCTGTTGCACAAGCAGGTGACTATCAGGACTCAGTAACTAAGTGGATAACGTGATGATGTTTGAAGCGAACGTTACTAAGTCCGGATCTCAGAGTGAACATCAACTCTGAAATGTAGTTACATCCAGCTGGCGAGTCCCAAGTACGACGAAACACGCGTAAAACTGCATTCCAGTGCTAGTCACTATCAATCTTTGCTTAAAAAGCTTGTGACTTAACGCTATATCGAGGCAATCCGCACAGGATGTGCATACGCCAACATGGAACAGATCAATCGCAGTCTAAAATAACAATCGGAAGATACAAGTAGAACAACACCAAATGGATCTTTAGTCCACTGTTTGTTTCGTTTAAATTAACATTTTAAAAATAAGAAACTTACTGGATTCTTGTTATTCTCAAGTATATCTGTACATGAAATACAAACTGACATAGTTCCTGGTTGTTTTGTTTGAATATTTTGATTTTCTTCTGTTGTTAACGGCGACAATTGCTTATTTTTTGTAATTGATGACAAATATTCCTGCTTTTTAATAGATTGATTATTTAAACAGGTTATAACGGATTCATGACATATAATACAAATATTATTACTATTATTAGGAAATTTTTTAGTATTCTCTTGTACAAGATTAGTTGTATATGAGAACGGATAATTGTCAGTAGAGGTACATGAGAAAAATCTTCGAAATAATGACATACTCACTACACATCTCCATTCAAGAATAATTGAATGGATGGACAGGATGATGAAAGTGCTAAAAAAGAATAAAGTAACATAAAACAGGTAAACAAATATGTCATAGGTTAATCTCAGTTGATGTAACACTACAAATTAGAGGGTAATAAATAGCTAGTTTGTCATAGTATGTTACCCATCAACAATATTCACTCATGGTGTCGATAGGGATCGAATACAAGACAATCAGGCCTCTCAGAGGACCACTGGAAAAAGGAATACTAAAGTGAAAAGCTATTTGTGCTATTTTGTTCTCAACTGAGATAAATCAGTGACGAATATAACTTATAGATTATTATTGTTAAACTAATGGTCAGTAAAACATCATTTTGATTCAACGGTTGGAGAGATTTTTCACCACTTAGATTCATTGATACCAAACTGAATGTTTCTGCTAAGAATCATTGGTCTGTAGGTTCATTTTCGTTGAAAATAATCGGAATTGGAGTACTTTAAGACCTCACGAAAAATTTGTAACTCAAAGATGAACATAAAACTGTGTTCCGTCTTTGTGTTATATTTAATTTGTTATTGAGGCATATTTTTGAGTACTTCGAGGATAGACATTACCCACGTACATACGCCCGTTACCCCTCGTGATAGAGCACAGACTGCTCACCAACATTCCCCACTCAGCAATCCTTTCCAGTTATTCCCAGCTGCTATTCATCCTTTTCATGTGTACTTCCAATTATCGACGCAATATGTTCCATGATCTTTCACTTTTTCGTTTCCCCGCAGGATTCCAAGGAAGCGCTTGCCTCGTGATGCAGTTTGATGATTTCCTCAACGCATGTCCTATTGACCTCCAAAGTCTTTTCCTAATTTCCTCTTTAGATGGAAGCTGGTTTTTTCTCTACAACAATGGGTTGTTGCTGATGGTATACGGTCAATGAACATCAGATATCTTGTGTAAACAATTGTTTATAAATGCTTTTACTATTCGATGACTTTCGTGGTAGTTCTCCAAGTTTCAGCTCAGTACAGTTGAACCGTCTTGACATTTATGCTAAGGAATTCTTGCTATGATGTTGTCTGACATTTGTTTTGAGTTCCATATGTTCTGCAGAGGTAGGAATGCTGCTCGTGCTATGCCAATCCTCGCCATTATGTCTGCATCAGATTCTCCTTGTTTACTGACGATGTTCCCTAGATATGTGAAAATTTCGACCTCTTCTAGAACTTTTCCATCTTTGTCTGCAGCTCTTACAAGGTTACTCCCGGTTACAAGCGCGTGCAAGGAAGGAGGGTTGGCGATGGATTCAGAAACCTCATCCTGTAGAAAACCACCTTGCTGAGAAAACGCTGACCAAAATAAATACTTCAAAGTATAGACATCAGATGGCACTAAAATTTCTTAATGAATATTAACCCTAGGGTAATTTGGGTAATTGCGCCTAGGAATCGATTATATCAATATCAAGCGGTAATTAACTCAGTCTACTGAAAACCAGCACTACGCATATAACATAGTGGATAGTGGTGAATGTTATAAAACCTATTTAAATATGAGATTACTTTGAAAAAAGACACCAACTAAAACTAATTCTTAATAAATCATTTTTCGATTTCAGTCTTAAGGGGTAACGATTAAGAATTGCATGTAAAGTAATTTCATATGATATTATTTAAAATATTAACTAAATGCAAGGAATCGAATTTATTCAATATTGCCCTAACCGAAACAGCATACACTATAATGAGACGACTCAATGGTTACTTTTTGTATCGCGATTTAACTGCTTTCACTATTTTCTTTTGTTGAAATGTCCGTAGTAAGCTTAAATTCCTCTTCAAAATAGAATATACTACTGTTACCACGTGTTGCAGTTCAATATGTTCCGTAAGCTGAAAAACCCACTTCTTACATACGTCATTTTGGATGTAAAGACAAAAATGGTAAAATCTGATCCTTCAACGAACTTTGTTTAGTTACCGCTCCTACCAATTTCCTTTAAGATGAAATAAGTTTTTCAAACGGGGGCTTTATATTTACATGACCAGACAAACTCTGAACATGCACGAACCGTCCAAATATCCCGATGGAAATTCAGTTAAACCTGCATATATTGATTTACATGACTTTTGCTTCAAACTATGTTTCAGGTGTAAACAGATTTTTGTCAAATTATAAACAGTTGACCAGTTTTTGAAACCTTAATGTCGTCAGTAGAGAAATGGAACAGAAGTATTAGTCTGGTTTGTGAGTACTTTGTGGAAAACTATTTTTGTATTTAAGCCACCTACCATGGGATGATACGTAATAAGTTTTTACTACATACAATTCTCCTCTGTGACACTGGATTTTTTATCGTGTCATTAAAATCTTGATCCTAATAACTGAGGTGTTTTTTACAATCAAATTAATGTCTGTTTGCGTAAACTGTTGAGTACATGACATAAATCAACAATATATTACATTCGCTTACTGCCTGATATCTAAGCAAACCAGCCTCTTGCATTAGGTGTTAAAAATCTAAGCTGGATAGATGCTTTTTCGCAAGGCATATCGAACAATGTATCTTACGCTACAGCTCCTCTCAAACTACAACTGACTAACTGACTAACAACTGACTAACCTTCTTTAGGATTTAAGATAGCAAGTGGAGTAGATTCTTTGGTTATTTATGCTAAACAGAACTATGTTCTTGGCTAGCAAGAAAAGTAATAATAGCTTATTTCTATTCATCAATACTTAAGACTGTTGGCTAGTAGGTAAAATGTCAATTCTATGTAATTCATCATACTTATCACATTTTTAAGGACTGTGTCTGAAAGCTGTTCTAGAACAGTAAAAGTTTGTGAAGAATTATAAAAAGGAATCAATCTTCAATAAAACAACTGTTTGTAAACCATTCAACATAAAGTGATTTAAACACAGAGCTCATAAACGCATTTTAGACATGAGAGTTAGAACTCTTCCATGTGCTTCACATATCAAAACTTTTCCATAAAAAACCGTACAGATAGTGGAAGCCTGTAAATTATATCAAGAATAGAAACAAAGTGTTGATACATAAAACGTTTTATGTTTCTGTTAAGCTTAAGATTGCGGTAATTAACAGAATATTACACACATAAACGAAAGCTTATATTAAAAAAGTGTGTACTAACTTCCCAATAGTCTATGTTATTGCTTTATTCACCCAAAAAACATTTAATAGTTCATATCCTAAATGTATTTCTGTGATAACTAAAATTTCAACCAGATCGCACATCGAATTAATACTAAATGCATTTAACTGAGTCACTAATTGTCAGGCATAGCTATGGAATGTGAATTATAAAAATTTAATGAGATTTGATTCCATAGACAAAAATCTGCAGTTAAGTAATTAACAACTATATTACTGAGAAACTAAACAAACCACAAGACTCCTTACCTAAACAATGCGGTTTATAAAGTATGCGTAAATGTGATGAACTAAAACACGCTTCAGGAATATCCGTGTTCATGGTTTTCTGAAATGAAAACTCAATATTTGGTTGAAAAGCAAGTTATGCACAGTTAAAAGTCACCCAGCAGCATCTTTATGTTCTGAAACTAATGAACAGGTGGTTTGGGATCGATCTGAATGGGTGATCTTATCCGCAACGCAACCATGTAAACTTAATGTATCGCACACTGTCGTTTGTGCGTTCAAGTAACCACAGATTTTGTCATTTCATAATGTAATTTTAATTAAATAACTAGAGTATGTAGTTAATTTTGATCTGTTTTTAATTTCGACGAAGGTGCGGGCCACTGTTTCAGCAGTGATGTCCTTGATAGGTACTGCTTCTGGCCATCGAGTGAAACGGTCTACGCAGGTTAAGAGATAAGAGTATCCATTTGAATCTGGTAAAGGTCCTACCAAATCCAGATGAACATGGTCGAAACGAGCATCGGGAGTTTTAAACGAGCCTAAGGGACATTTATTGTGTCTGATAACCTTAGATTTTTGGCAGCTTACACAGGAGCGTGCCCACTCCCTCACGTCTTTATTCATGCCAGGCCAGCAAAATCGTTCTGCTATAAGCTTGATGGTTGCACGAACACCTGGATGAGAAAGTTTGTGCAATGTATTGAAGACATTGCGTCGATAATGTTTCGGCACGATTGGGCGATCCCTACCTGTAGATGTGTCACAAAGTAAGGTTTCCTTACCTGTTCCCATCTGTTTGATGCGTAGTTTAAGTGTTGTGGACGATAACTCGTGCTGAAGATCAGTGTCTTCTTTTTGAAGCTCGGCGAGTTTAAGAAGGTCGATTCCTTGGAAACTGTTCAAGGAAGTTATGCGAGATAAGGCGTCTGCAACTACATTGTTTGCTCCAGAAATGTGTTGAATATCTGAAGTAAACTGCGAAATGTAGTCCAGTTGTCGAGACTCACGGGGAGAGTACTTGTCAGAAGGAGAGCTTAACGAGAAAGTGAGCGGTTTATGGTCCGTGAAAAGAGTGAATTCACGGCCTTCGATATAGTGTTGGAAATGCCGTACAGCACAATACATAGCTAGGAGTTCCCTACCGAATGTGCTGTACCTCGATTCGGTGTCTAGCAACCTTCTAGAGAAAAATGCCAAGGGTTGCCAGGAGTTGTTAACCCATTGTTGTAAGACTCCTCCGATTGCCGAGTCGGATGCGTCTACTGCGATGCTAATGGGTGCTCCGGTGTCCTGATGTGCGAGCATTGTTGCTTTAGCGATCAGTTCCTTAACTGTGGAGAATGCTTTTCGTGCGGTGTCGTCCAAATTAATGGATTTCGCATTTCCACGAAGTTGGTCGGTCAGAGGTTTCATAAGTAATGCGCATTTCGGTATGAAACGTCTATAGAAACTTACCAGGCCGTTAAACGTGCGTAATTGCTTGACGGTGGTCGGTTCTGGGTAATCCAGAATGGCCGCCACTTTGGTTCTAAGGGGTCGGATACCTTGAGCATCGATAGTGTGTCCCAGAAAGTCTAACGAGTCGGTTCCGAATTG